TATATATATATAAAATATTCTCATTGATAATTTCTAGCAAAGGTGGTTATGTAAGATGGCTTCATATTTAATGTAAAAGTAAAATTTCAAACTCATCTTTATGGAGGAATGCCAAAATTGCCAGTTGGTACGATAAATTTAATCGACTCTAGCGAAGAATTATAGGGACTGTTTAATTTTATTTTAGTTTTTTGTAAATAAATTATTTTTGTAAAACAATTTTTATCATCTATGTTAGAAGATAAAAAGAAAGAAAAATCCTGTTTGATAACTTGATTTTGGATAAAAGTTTTTAAAGGAAATGAAACAAGATGGCCCTTTGTTCTTTTCCAACGATAAATGCAAGAGATACAAAAGGTTTAAAGTATTTCCTCTATTCTCTATTATAAGAAAAAAAAAATGATTTTATGTATATTAAAAAAATAGTTATCTGGATTAAATTTTACCACTTTTATAATATATTTTTTCTAAATTACTTTTATTATAAATGTCAAAAAAAATTATACAACTAAAAATGGTATTAAATGAGAGATTTTTTTAAAAAAAATATTATTAAATGAGATAAAAGTAGTTAAAATTTGTTTATATGTAAAAACAAAATTCTGTATTTTATTTTATTTACATTAAGGAACAGAAGAAGTAATTAATAACAAATTTTATACCAACTATTATCAAGGAAAAATGACTCTTTTCTTGATAAATGATTATTTTCTCGATGAGAATTATGACAATGAAAAAGTTGGAACTACCATATGAAATTGGGCCAGGGCTATATGCAGTTAATTTACAACTACATGAATCCCAACTATTCAAATCAAATTATAAATGAAATGCAAGTTAAAAATTATATAGCGTTTAATTTGAAGCAATATGATATTACCCTGCGGTTCAAAGGTGATCCGGATCCCTAATTATTTGGAATACCAACACAAAAAGAATGTGAAGCAACGCCTATTTTACGGTGGTTAAGGTTCAAGTCAGGTGTGGCTGCTGCCATACCTGTTTTGTAAATCATTCTAGCCTCTAACCATTCCAAACATAATCAGAGGCATTTCTGTTTTCTTCTACAAAGGAATTATAAAATTGTTTCCAATACGTACGAAAACACTTGAACAAATTGTTAATAAAAGAAAAATCGCTTTTTAAAAATAATAATCTATCGGGCGCATAATTTCTATATTTAGGTAAAATTTAACGTGCATGAGATTATTTTCCGATATTTTGTTCCCATATCTCGCTTGACAGACAATAAATGATAGATACAGATACGAAGGTTTAGACAAGGTCTTTCAAAAATTGACATGAGATAATCGATACAACGGCCAACACCCCCACCCATATATATAACGCTAACAGAGACTGATTTAATGGTAAGAAATTATCTTCTGAGAACCAACCACGTAAATTGAAACATATCAATCCAAAGCTAATTCAAAATATCCAAAATTTGTAACCTGTAAATTAAACAGTAAAAGCAACAAAATTCCCAAGAAAATGAATTTAAGATATTCAAGATATGCAGATTTGAGCTGCATTCACAACACAATTTCACTCATCATCATCTTCGTCGTCACCAGCAGCCGAATTAAGAGCCTGCAAGCGTGCAATCAGTTTTGTCTTCCTCTCTTCGTAAGTGAGCTTCTTGAGATTGTACCTGCTCAAAAGACCAAACAATATATACCTTTAGGAACATGTCTACTCAGGAAGTGCGATGGTGAAACTGCCTACTAAATATTATCATTCAATCATTTGTCATGCAAAAGCAAAATTATATGGACATGCGATACCTGAAATAAAGGTCATCTAGCAACCTCAGATGATTTACTATATACATCGCATATGCAAATAGACATGAATTACACAATTTGATGAGTCTGAATAGAAAACATCATAATGATTTACCTCTTGTGTTCTTTAGGTGGCTGCTTCTCAGACTTCTTGATTGTAGAATCTGCACGAATGGAAGCATGAACCTTTTTGTATAGCTCCTCAAGTCCGTCAGCCTCTAGTCCACGCTTGATATATTCACTGAAGTGTAGCTGGTATTTCTCTGGTTCATCTTCCGCCAAAGTCTACAAATAGCATCACAAAGGTCACAAATTTGTGGAAACTCCTTACTATGATGAGTGCAAAAAACCAAATTTACATTGAAATGCACCAATTAAAATCTTTGCACATGCCTTCATGTAGGAAGCAACATGTCCACCAAAGATGTATTTGCGGTGAACATCAGGATCTAGCTCCTTCTTGTCCTTGTCAAAACCAGCAAACCTTTTATCACTGTGAGGGATATCCAACCCACCATCCAAAGCTCCCTGCAATCCGTCACAACTATTCAGTATCAATAGATTGAAAAGAATAAAGGACGATGGTTATCTTTTACGCATAACCTCACATACCTTGAGGGCACCAAAGACCCGATTACCAGTTGTCGTTTTAATAAGACCAACATCAAGGAGAGCACGGAATGGCCTCCGGGTGTCAGCAGGTTCCACTGAAAAATCCTCTCCAGTAGCCTGAATATGATATGACCAATCAACATACACAGAATAAAGTAGATGACTAGATAGATGCATAAACAGTATAACACATCCTTATATACCTCTACATTGCCCTCATACTCCTCGTCCATTTCAAGCATTTTAAGAACTCGGCGAGCCAATAGGAGTCCAGTGCAGTAGGCTGGGCACAATTTGTAATTTTTAATCACAAGTATAAAACATTATGGTAACAGAAGGGGAAAAAAAAAAGCAACAAACACACACTGGTTAGGTAGAATGCAAGAAAGGAATTCCATATATTATGTACCTGCAGCATAGTTTGTAAGGCCCACTTCAAGGCCATAGCGTGGCAGTTCATGAGCATATGCCGCAGCAAGAACAATGTCACCAGCAATGCTAGCAGATGTTATTTGAGCAATAATGTCCTTGTTTGTCTAATAATATGCTAAGGAGTTTTCACTTAAAAAAGGGTTAAATATTGACAACGAAATTAACTTTAAATTATGAAGTAATACCGTTCAAACACTATGACAATTAATAACTAAAGCATAAATGCAATTAAAACATTAACCTACAGACCAACAATCAACAGGGAACAATAGGATACAAATCGAACCACAAAGCGGTATTTTGGAGTGTTGTACTTGTTCTTGTCCTGGTTAATCAAGCGAATCCTGGCTCGATAATCAGTCTTTCCCTCTGCAGATTGTTTAAGCAAAAAAGAGAAAATTCAGCATCGGAAGTACAACATAATAGAAAGGGGCAAAGTGAAACGACTAAAACTAAAACCTCTTCTTCTCTTAAACTTGACTTGATATCTCTTGAAGTAGGCCCTTGACTTCTGAGCCTTGACATATGCCTTTTATTGATGAACAAACGTTGTTAGTGTTCTTGCCTAAAAGCACCCCCATGGGGCATTGCATTACACGCACAATATCGCATTTAAGAAACGAAACAGCCAAATTATAGCACTCACTACATAAACCCTAATTCCTTATGGGTAGATTTACTAACTCGCCTATCACAGAGTGCATACAAAATGAAGATAGAACAGAGAAGAAGAAGAAGAGATACATACCATTTTGCAATTCAGTGACAGCACGCAGCGGCTAAGGCAGACAAAGGAGGAGGGAACGGTAGAAGTAGCAGGAAGGGGTTTTTAGGGTTGTTTATGGGCTTCGTCTACGGGCTTTATCACACTTTTTTGCCTAGGCCCAACAAGAAAAAAAAAACGTTTCCTTTTTCCCAGACCACTTAAAGCTAAAAAAGTAAAAATAAAAATAAAAAAACATGAATTCATTTTTTCTATTCATGGCTAAAAGTTAAAATGACGGTGTGTGTTAATTTATTTATTTATTTATGCAAGGTACATATACTTGGTTATATACTTATCTATAATGTATACATACTATTCAGTGACCATAATTTTCGTTTCTATTTTTAATCAGACTCTCTTACCCTTAAATAAAACATTTTTTAAAACTACTAACTCTTCTTGAAAGAAAAAAAAAACATTTATTAATTTATATGGTTACTTATTTTAAAATTTAACTTACAACTATTTTTTCAGAAAATCCCTAAAAATTACATATAAAATTTTCATTAAAAAAATCAAGTTTAGTTTCATATAATGTTTTTCTCTCCTATATTTTAATTTTGTAAATTTAGTCTTTTAATACTATAATTAGGTGTGTCAACAAGTGAGACAAGTAAGAATAGTAGCTCACCCCATGAGATAAATATTTATCGTACTTATCTCCATATTTGTGCATTATTTGTTGAGTGGATACTCACATGTTTTTTCAATATTTATGAATATTCATAGGTACACGTGAATATTTACTAAAAAAATTATATTTTAAAAATAGTTAACAAAAATATTTTAATCATACATTTTAGTTATTTTTAACATTTTTTCTTTTTAAAGTTATAAAAATCTGCATAAAAAATTTGAAGATTATAAAATTCAAATTCAAATATTCTTCAATTATATTAATAAAAATAAATGAATTTAAAAAATAAATTTTAAATGTTTAATCATATAGATTTAAAGTTCAAACAATAAATATTAAAATAAAATATTTTAGTTACACACAATTCAAATAAAAGATAATAAAGTATAATACTTAATTATTATAAGTTTAAATAAAATCAAATTCATATAAGTTCAAATAAAAACAAATTCATATCAGTCTAAGTAAATTGAATATTAATGATTACGGGTATCCATGGATACAGATACTATGTACTCATACCGTCTCATTAATATGTAGATGTAAAAATATCCATAATTATTACTTATCGGTATCCATTTACAATATTTATTTTTTATTCATTGCAAATTTTATATTGCAAATTTTATATGCAGATGCTCGTGGGTGCAAATTTTTTAAAAATCCTTAATTATAACAAATATAATTTTAATTTCTTCATTAAATATTCATTAGTTAACTATTATTAAAGTCGCAATAGAGCCATTGACTCATTATCTAATATTAACTAGATGTTATCACAATTAACATTTAATTATATTTAAGTTAATTTGTATTTTTTATTATATATTTTTATATCATGTGATAAAATAAATATATTATTAATTAATTAAATATTATTATCATGTCAGTTACATAATATAAGATAATGATTAATGTAATAATTTTAATTATTAACAAAAAATACTTAAGAATGTGATCAAAACTATAGGTTTTGCAAAATTAAATAACCAAAATTACTTAATTAAAAGTTGAAGGAGTAAAATTGTAGACTAAATATTATAAAGAGATGAAGAGCTTAATTTAACTAAAAGTCTGTGTTTCATATTTTTAAAAATTAAAGTTGTGTTAAAATTAAATAATTTTGTCATGTAAAAATGTGAAATGATTAAATAATTTAATTGTTCTATAATATATTGTAAATATAAAACTTTGTTAAAATTTTAATATTAAAATTTTGGAAACAATATTTTGAATAATTTAAAATATAAAAAAGTAATTAAATTAGACTTTATAATTAAATATTATTTAAAAAAAATTATTATTTTAAGACTTAATTTTTTTTTATTATCTTTATAAGATAAATGATTTTTTTTGTTTCATATTTTTTTTGCTTTATTTTTTGTTCATGTAAATTTTGAAAACTTTTATTTTAGTTCTTATAAAATAAGTAAATTCTAATTTTGGTTTCTAACTTTTTTTCAAAATAAATAATTTATTTTAGACATCTTATAAAATAATATCATAAAAAATGTTTATCTCAATGTATCATAAATCTCATTTTTTCAGGAATATTATATACGGCCGTGTTAATATAATTTAAGGCCTAAGACAAAATTTATGAAATAATAAATAATAAATAATAGGTTATTAAAAAAATTACCACAACCTCAAAAATGGAGATATGGTGTTAATAAATACCTTATAAATACAAAGCTAGTTATTAATTTTGTATGAATTATAAGATTATTCATCAATTGTTTTAGTTTTTAAAATCATATTCAAATTTTATTTGACATTTTATATTATTATAATTTTATAATGTGTAATAAAATATAACTTTAATATATTTTTAGTCCTTATAAAAATGAAAAAAATTTGATTTTAATTTTTATATTTTTTTATTCTTCTAAAATTTGTAAATATTTTTTTATCCTTAAAAAATATTTTTAGACTCTAAAAATGAGTAAATTTTGCTTTAATTTGGTTATTATAAAAGTACTTTTTCTTTGATTTTTATTCTTATAAAGTCTAAAATTATTATGTTTTTATCTTAACAATAATTTTAAAGTGTATAAGTGACATTTATTTTAAGAACCTGTGAAATAAATTCACAATAGTATATATCACTCTATCTATTATAAGTAGCATCAAAGATAATCACTTGACCATTTTATAAATAAATAAATAGTTAAAAAATGATTACATAATAATAGATATTAAAAATAATAATTATAACTTTTATAACGATAAAAAAAATATAAAAACTAAAAACATATATAAGTCATAAATAATATAAAAGTAACAATAAAAAAATTAATAGTATTAAAAATATATAAAAATGATAAATTGACAAAAACCTAAAAATATATAGAATTACACATAGGAATTTTTTACCATAACAAATTTAAATTCGTTATTCACTTGAAACAAATACTTGAAGTTTTTAAATAGATATAAAAATGATGAAAAAGAGAGAAAAAAAATAAGATAATTAACAATTTTTTAGGTCAATTATTTATTTGTAAAGTGTATATAGAAAAATAAATTAATAACATTTTTTTTACATATACTAAATAGCATAACATTTCAAAATCAACATTATTCTAAATTAATTACCATAATTATTAGCAAAAAGTTTAATATCTTCAAACTTTAATGTTTTTAATATCCTAATTAATATGACTTTGAAGAACAAACTCAATCAACTACATAATTAAATTTTGGAAAATAAGACATCTCTCTATTCAAATTATTAAACCATAAATATGTAATTTTTTTCATACAAATCATGTAATTTATTATGAAACCTAAAACAAGTGGCTATATGGTGTTGCGTGTTACACGACCCTTGTTATACTCGAAAATGTTATCCCATAGACATGTTTGGTTTACATGTATTAATTTTATAAAAAAAAAGTTATTTTTTAATTGATAAAAAATGGAAATGAATGAAGAAATGTGGAATAATAAGTGGGAAGAGGTAGTTATTAAAAAATAACTTTTATTTTCATGATAATATAAGATATACATCTTTATCTATATGAACGAGAAACATGTATCACCGTAATATAAGATATACATCTTTATCTATACTAGTGGAGTCGAGACACTTCGTGCCTCAATTAAAAATAAAATAAAAATAAAAATAAAATAATAAAAATATATTGATCTAATTGGTATTATGATTAATCCATTAAATTCAAGTTCTTAAATTTGATTAAAAAATATTTTTTTTTATTTTTTAAAATAAAAGGGTATAATGGTAAAAAAAATAGAGACCAAAGTGATTAGTGAAAAGTATATCTCTTTTATATATTAGTATTTAGTATAGATGAAAAAAGTATCTCCTTTATATATTAGTATAGATGAATGAAAAACATGACAAATTTAAATATTTTCTATTTATAAAAAAAATATATCCAAAATATCTTTTTATATCATTCTATCAAACATAATAATATATATTTTCACCTCTATATTTTCAGAGATATATAACTTGAAACAAATAATATTTAGATTTCATTTTTATTATTATCGTTTTAATATTTTAAATTAATAAAAAATGATATTCTACTATAAAACATTATTGAGTGTTACTTAAGATTATCACTACTTTCCTTTTATGTTTTAACACTGTAATCATTAACGAGTGTCACTTTAAAATAGACTCCAAAAAATTATAATTTTAAAATAATGAAAACAAATAATTTATATTATAAAAATTAAAAACATATTTGATAATTTTTATTGTAATATCTTTATAGATATTTTACACTTCAAAGACACTTACCTAAAATGAGTTTTTATAGGTATTGTTTATTAATTATTAACTTTGTGACAAGAAAATGTACTAATTAAATATTAAAGTTTTATTGTGTAAGTACTTTTTCTCCATATAAATAAATTATTAAAAAATATATCAATTTGAATAAATGATTAAATTAGTGATATTTTTATTCATATATGTTAAAATAATTTATAGTGATATTATTTAGTATCTATAATTAATAAAAAAAAAAGTATTTTTTTATACATTTTTTCTCATTATATGTAATAAGAATGTTAAAAGTAACTCGTTACTACCAACAAGCATTGCTTTAAGAAGTATTAAACTTAGGTTTTCTTTAGTAAAATCTTGGGGTTCAAATCTTGTATAGAAAAAGTTTAATTTAGATAAACGACTTCACTAAAAATGATCAATTAGATTTTTCAAAATAATTTATTACAAAAAAAAAAAAGTAACATTGTTAGTGACACGCCTTTGATCAAAGTTTTTAATGTTAGGCCAAAGAGAGAGTCATCTAGCCCAGTTTGGTTGAATGACTATGTATAAGTTTGTTTTGAGTTTATTGTTACTCGCCTTAAGATTTTATTACTTTCAATAAGGTTTTGAGTTGTCATCTTGGTGTGAAGCCCAAGTGACTTGTTTTATATTCTAAAAACTCTGTTTCAATGGAGTGTGGTGATAATTCAAAATGTTTTTTTTTTTTTTTGTAGTTATGATATTAATATGAAGTATTCATCATTGGAAGTAGTGATTAATCTTCATCGAGGATCATGAGTGCCCACAAGGTATGTATTCCCCTTCTAACATAGTTTATTTCACACTCAAGACCAAGATTCGAACCTTAAACAACTTGTTTAATAGACACAAGTCACTACCATTTATGCAAACTAATGTTGATTAAACGTAAATTGTTCTCAACATTTTATTTCATAGAGTAAGTTTGTTCTATAACTTTTTATTATTGGTACTTTCATGTTCGTTTACCATGGCTCCCAAAGTAAGTTGGAATTTCAGTCCCAAAGTTGTGTGTGACCCTGATGATTCGATTTTTGCCCTTATTGAATAAATGAAGGCTCTCCAAACCCAAATCAATAATCATAACCAACTTCATGATACACGCCATGAGTCACTCACCTCGCTTATGTCTACACTAATGGATCACCTCACCCAATCATTAGTGGGTTTGCAACCCTCGTCATTTTTTCCAAGCTTAATTTATCTATTGTCCAACCCATTATGGTCTCAATACCACCCCCAATGTTGTTCCATTAGATGCCTTTTGAGTACATTGAACCTTTCCATTTTTCACCTCCATTTTTTGCCTATAAGTTATGATAATCATGGTCATATAACTTTTTTTTTTCCTACATCCACAACCTAAACCCTACCATTTGGGCCTTCGTCCACACTTCCTTTGTCTATTATGCAAACTTCCCATTTTCAACTACTCAAACATTTCCATTGTTTAATATCCAAAACCTAATCACTCCATTTCATTATAACCCACCCTTTGTGGTTTCAAATACATAAACCCTACCATTCTTTACTATCCAACAATTTCCTTTCTCACTACTTAATAACACCTTTTTTTGGATCTACCCAAAATACTTCCTATCACAATGCTTCCCATTATAATCCTTCTTTTACATGAATGTCGAAGTTTCACATGTTTACCATTTGATGGGCTTAAACCCCTTGATTAATTGTTTCAGGATAAACAATATTTCATGTTTTACCAAGTATCGCGGGACCAATGTGTTTCGATCGCGACATTTTATATGATGGGAGAGGCCTTAAGTTGGTTCAAATGGATGTTCACTAATGATCAATTGGGCAATTGGTCTCATTTCATTTTCTCCTTAAAGTTGTGTTTTAGACCGTCAACTTATGCAAATCATTAGGCAAAGTTATCTAAGATTAAAAAACTAGGTTAGTATTTGCTTATCAAGTCGCATTTGAAAAAAAATGCAATCAAGTAGTTGGTTTAACTCTTAAAAATTTGTAAACTATTTAATTTTCGAATTAACTCCTATGATACAACGAGAGATGGCCATTCTAAAACATCATTTTGTTACTTAGGCCATTAGTTTGACTAAGTTGGTCAAAGGTAAGTTTTAGGATTCTAAACCATACTTTACTGTACTAAGTTGGTCAAAGGTAAGTTTTAGGATTCTAAACCATACTTTATTGTACTAGCCATATTCATATACAATTTTATGTTCCTTGACTTATATCCAACACCAACACATCACACCCATAGTTTATAATAGTTTACCAATAAAAAGTTATCTCCCAGTAATTGTAAGAATGTTATGAGGCAAACACATGTTACAATTGTGATGAGAAGTACTATTTTTGCCATAAAATACATTATAGTAAGTAACATACATGAATAAATTTGCTAAAAATCCTCTAAAATAATATAATACAGAAGAATAAAGTTTTTTTTATTACATAAAATTAAAGTATATTTTTTAACTTTTTTATAATATCAAATCAACAATTTTGGCCTTTTAGTTTTTAAATATGTAATTTTAATCTCTTAATTTTATAAAATTTACGATCTTGATCTTTTTATTATATATTAATTTATTAATCATTAAAATTATAATAATATTATATAAATAATAGAATAATTAATATTTAATTATATTTAATCTAAAATAATTTCACCCAATTTCATCTCATCTGATCACTTTTAAATGATAAAGTTAAGAATTAAATGTAAAATTTACCTAAAATATTATTAAATATTAATTATTATTTTATTAATTTAATTTCAAACTATTGTTATAATTTTAATTATCGATAAATAAATATTTAGTAAGACAATTAAAAATCCAAAATTATAACTATAATATTATAAATGACTAAAATTACGATTCAGTAAAAGAAGATAAACATTTACCGACGTGCTTGTTCTGTACGGTAATTATTGAAAGACAAATGCTGGTAAAAAAAACACGAAGACAAATATTTTTTCCAATGATTTTTAAACGTTTTAGAAAATAAAGGATTTGTTTTTTAACACCACAAAAAAAATTAAAAAGAATCTTAAAACCTAAATAAATTCACAAAATTCTAATTTATTTTAATTTTAAAAAGTAAAAGAAAACAAGTCGGTGCATGAGTAAAAAAACGGAAAGTATTTATATTTAAACGGTTTTTGTCGTTCACGCATAACATAAACGCGAGAAAAAAGAAAAAAACTCTCCCGCAGGAAGAAAGAAAGAGATTGAGAAAACCTAGATGGATCAAGAACAGAAATTTCTTCAGTTTCGCAATGCGATATGATCGTGTTCCGCACTTGTGTTAGAATCAAATCCTCTCAATAGTCTGATTTCGTTATTCTCCACTCCGCCTTCCCCGTCCTCTCGCCGTTGCCGGCGGCACCTCCCTCCTCACCGCCGCCGCGTAGTTCTTTGCATCGCAACCCTAATCATTGTCCGTAGGTGAAATCTGAGATTGCAGACCTGTGCGTGTGACAAATCTTGACGAGCGATGGAGTTGGCACAACTAGAAGCCTTGTGTGAGAGGCTGTACAATTCACAAGACTCGGTGGAACGCGCTCACGCGGAGAACACTGGAAGCAATGGTTCAACCCTCACTGCAGTTTTTACTAAGTTATTCATTTTATTTTCCAGGGTAAGGAGTATATCCTAGTGTTGAAGTCAGACAATGTGGCAACAATCATAGATCCAAGTATCCTTCTTATAGTTTTAA